CTGAATCACTTCTGTGCTGCCCACAGTAACCTTCTTTAATTTTGTTTTCTTGGCTCTTTGCTGTAACAGTGACAACATCCAAAATCCTGCAGCAAAAATCCTTTAATATCCCTGGCAGCCACAGGAAGCTTAACCAGAGTCAGAATCAGGCTGTTCTGGATGCTCTGAGAAAATCCTTCACGCTCATCCAAGGCCCACCAGGTAAGGGGGCACAATGGGAGGACACACTTGCTTTGGTATGAACGGCTTGTGAGAGCTGATCTGCTGCTTTCCATAGCACCCTCAATGAGCCAGGAGAAGGGAGGGTGGGTTGGCATCCCCCACAACTGTGAAAGGCAGTCCCCTCCATGCTTGATTTTATGTCATGGCTGATCAGCCAGATGCTGAGCATGGGTGTTCTGGTTAAAGTGTTCTCAGCATTCTTGTTTTTCTAGGCACAGGGAAGACTGTTGTTGGAACTCACATTGTCCACTGGTTCCATCAGCTGAATGAGGAGAGTGTTGAAAAGGAGCAAACACCATCCTTGGATGATAAAAAGTCCAAGAGGAGAAAGTGCATCTTGTACTGTGGCCCATCCAACAAATCTGTTGATGTTGTTGCTGGTAACTATTGTTTTTTAAGCCCCTGAAGTGGCTCATACAGGTGGGAGAGAAAACACATGGTGTGAGCAGGAAGGGCAGAAAGCAGGGCTGGTCCTTACAGAAGACCCTGCACTGCAGGCCGAGGACTGGAGAAGGTGGGATGATGAGTGAGGGGTGGGGGCAGGCAGGCCATGAGTATTGCCAGTGCCTGGTGCTGTCTGAGCAGACCTGCCCTCCTTCCCCAGAGATGCTGCTGAAGACGAAGAACCTGAAACCACTGAGGGTTTATGGGGAGGCCATTGAGACGATGGAATTCCCATACCCAGGGAGCAACCGGCACCTCTCCCGTAAATCCCTGCGGGATGCAAAGCCTAAGCGTGAGCTCAGGTAGGATGGCATGGCCCCACAGGGTGTGAGGGTGCTGGGGAGAGGTGGCTTCTACAGCAGTAACCCTGAACAAGCCAGAGCAAATGCAGTTTCATTCCACCACTGTGGAGCAGCACTATTAACTTGCTTTGTAACTGATTTGTAATTAATGGTTTCAACTGAAGGTGTATCATCCAATGTAGCACCTAGTCAGGAAACCAAGGTTGTTGAGAAGTCCCTAGGTGTTCTCATCTCATTTTGGAACAGTTCTAAAAGTCTCTGACTTCAGTCCTGCTTGCAGCTGCTAAAGACTAGTTGCATTTTGTGTCCTTAAGGGTGAACTCTTAGATCTACTAAGATCTAAGACAGTCTGGCTGTGACTTTTATAGCTAATGGGGTTTCTCCACATAGACAGGTGGTGTGGTCTGCTTCACTGTAGAAGAGATCACTCAGGTCTGTGTTGGGGGAAAATATTTATGTATTGATTCTTTACTCAGCGAAATAATCCTGCATCATCGCATCCGGCGAGCGCCCAGCCCTTTCTGGCAGGAGATCTGTAAGTTTGATACTCGGATGAGGAATAGAGAGGACATCACAGAAGCAGAAACAAAGGAGTGAGTAGGAAGAGCCCCTGGTGAGAGATAGCTGACTTTGTCTGTGTGCCATCTCTGAAGCACATATTGATAAGCTTGAGCTTGTGGTTAGTGGTACAGTGCAGAGCCTCAGCATCACTTCTGCTCTGGTGCTGATGTCCATCTGGACCAAAAGTCCTACTCTGCCTGTGTGACCCTTGCATCCTCCACCCAGACCCATGCCCTGTTTAGTTCAGGACAAAGTACATTTCCTACAGTGTCTGTCCAGAGCCCTTGTCTGGGAACACCAGTTTGTCCTGGGGAGGGAGATGAAGCCATAATAATCTGGGAAGGTACAGGCTCTGCCTGGTTCCTGCATGAGGAGTCTGGAGATGTTTCTCTTATGAATAATCCAATGTCTTCTGCATTGACCACCAGGTACAAAGATTGGTTGACCCAGGGTCGTGCGTATCAGCTGGCACGTCATGATGTCATCCTGTGCACGTGCTCTGCTTCATCTGCTGGCTGCCTAGAGCAGCTCAATGTCAAGCAGATAATCATCGATGAGTGTGCTATGTCCACAGAGCCTGAGACCCTCATCCCCCTGGTCAGCCACCGCCGTGCTGAGAAGGTATGTCCCTTCCAAAGATGTGTCTCTAGGGTAGCTGCTCAGGGCTTTCAAACCTCTGCGTGTCTTCCATTCTTTACCATGCTGGTCTTCCAAGTTTTATCAGGTTTTAAGGTTTGTGCTCCTTCATGGGGCAGGTAGCACTGCCACCAAAACATGTTGTGGCCCAGGTACAAATTATTGTCATGTCAAGAAGCTTAGAGCAGATCTCAGGAGACTTAACTACATGATAGAGAAATCCAGATAAGGGCATGAAGATGCTTCAAGAATTGGAGCATCTCTGCTCTGGAGACAGGCTGAGAGAGCTGGGGTTGTACAGCCAGGAGACAAGAAGGCTTTGGAGACACCTTAGAGCCCCTTCCAGTGCCTAAAGGAGCTCCAAGAGAGCTGGGGAGGGACTCTGGGCTAGTGCGTGGAGTGACAAGACAAGGGGGAATGGCTTCACACTGATAGAGGGCAGAGTTAGATTGGATATTAGGGAGAAATTCTTCCCTGGGAGGGTGCTGAGGCACTGGCACAGGCTGCCCAGAGAAGCTGTGGCTGCTCCATCCATGGAAGTCTTCGAGGCCAGGCTGGATGGTGCTTAGAGCAACCTGGTCTAGTGGAAGGTGTCCCTGCCCGAGACAGGGGGTTGGAGCTAGATGAGCTTTAAGGCCTCTTCCAACCCAAACCATTCTAGGATTCTGTGTTTTTCTCCTGTCAGATGGAAACTTGTTATCTGGGTCAGGATCTTTATATAATGTCCAACGTGGTCTTTGACTGAGGCTGCTGTAACTGTAACCTAAATAAGTAGCAACAAATGCCTTCCAAGGAGCAGACTGCCTTCACCAGTGCCACCACCCTTGCAGCTGAGGTGTCTGCTCTTCACTCCAGGTTGTTTTGCTTGGGGATCACAAACAGCTGCGACCAGTGGTTAACAATGATGTCTGCAAGAGTCTTGGCATGGAGACGTCTCTCTTTGAGCGCTACCGGAAACAGGCATGGATGCTGGACACGCAGTACCGCATGGTGAGCTCCTCCAGTGGGTTTTCTTTCCTCCTTCACAGAAAATGCTGTTATCAGGGCTTCTCTCAAACATCAGATATTCTCTGTTAGTGCTTTCCCTTCCTAGATAGAGGATTCTATCTATCTATGTGCTTTCTTCTTTCTATCTATGTACATATCTAAGTGCTTTCCCTTCCTAGATAGAGGATTCTATCTAGGAAGATATCTATAGCACAATGGGATTGTAGGTGAAGCCTGCCCAAGAAGGTGCTGCAGGCTGGGAAGATCCTTGGATTTTGTTCACCTCAGTTTCTCCCCTTTTCTCTGCCAGCACAAAGCCATTTGTGAGTTCCCATCCCAGGAGTTCTATGAAGCACGGCTGAAAACGTGTCCCCAGCTCTTTCAGAAACCCAGTGTGCTTCACCACAGGGGTAACAGCTGCTGCCCCATCATCTTCGGGCACATGGAAGGGAAGGAGCAGTCCCTCATGATTTCTACTGAGGAAGGAAATGAGAACTCCAAAGCTAACCCAGAGGAAGCAGCACAGGCGGTAAGGAAGGTCCTGGGGAATTGCTGGAGATGCAGAAGGGAGAAGGGAGAGTGTTGTGCTGGATAACCCCTGGGATTGTGGAGGGATAATCAGGGTTCAGTGTCTGCCTGGTGTCTCCCCGGATCTGGAGCACACCACGATGCCTCTGGGCAGATGCAGGTGTAGAGCAGTGTGACCCTAAGCTAGGTACCACCATCGCTGCTTGGGGAGAGGGTGAGCAGGACCCTGTTACCCGCAGGTGAGGATAGCCAAGCAGCTGACACTAGATGGCACCATCCGGCCGGAGAGCATCGCCGTCCTGAGCCCCTACAACGCCCAGGTGTCCGAGATCAGCAAGAGCCTCCTGCGGGAGGGGATCCGCGGGGTCACTGTCTGCACCATCATGAAGAGTCAAGGTGAGGGGAGGGTTGGGTCTGTCCCCTCCTGCCTTCCTGAGGAGCTTATCGCAGAGACAGTTCTTGAGCAAACCCTACCCCAGGGTCACAGAAGACCAGATTTGTTGGTGATTTGTGATTATAATAAATCCTTTGGAAACCTCTGGAGTGCCTGGGCAGGATGAGGCTGCTGCAGGCAGGAGGTGGAGAATGTCTAGTGGACTGTTCAAAGCCAGGCTGGATGAGGCCTTGAGCATCCTGGTTTAGTGGGGAGGTGTCCCTGCCCAGGGCAGGGGGTTGGGACTAGATGATCTGTAAGGTCCATTCCAACCCAAACCATTCTGTGATTCTAAGATTCCATGTCTGGTGGGAATGTTAGAGAACTGCCACAATATGCTTTCTCTGGAGAGCAACAACCAGGAGTCCAACGGCCTGTGAAGCTGGAGAAACCCAGAGGGTGGCTGCCTTAGGGAAATGATGTCCTGTGGGGTGGAGGGATGACCAGATGCTTCCTTCTAACAAAATTTGGTTTGATTCCACATTCTAGGAAGTGAGTGGAGATATGTGATCCTGTCAACTGTACGCTCCTGCCCCCGCTCTGAGATCGATAGGAAGCCCACAAAGAGTTGGCAGAAGAAGTACCTTGGGTTCGTTACCGACCCAAACCAGATCAATGTTGGCATCACACGAGCTCAGGAAGGACTCTGCATTATAGGTGGGTCTCCTTGGACTGTGCACAGGCCTGTAGGGGAGCGAGATGCTCAGATAAAGGGGCAGTGATCCAAACTAGTACAACCAATGGACTTGCTTCATTCTTCTGCCCTTTAGACTTTAGACGGTCTGTGCTTTTGAAACTGGGCAATCTGGGGAAAGCAGGGCTCGTGCACGGCTTGAATGGAGCATGTATAGTTTGTCTTTCTCACCCTTTGGGCTGGAGCACATTGCTTGCATGCTAGAGCTCTCTGCTAACAAAATCTGGCGGCTGATTTTCCTCCTAATCACACAGGCATAGCCTGTGGTGTGTAGGGAGCTGCTCACAGAAACCACAGCGCTGAGGAGGGAGCTGGGATTTCACAGGAAAGTCCCTGCAAGTGATCCAACGCTATTAGCTAGAGATGTTAGACCAAAGTTTCTGTGTGATGCTATCAGCTGAGCCTCTTCTGGCCACTAACCCGCTGGCCCCATCCCTGTGCCCACAGGGAACCGATACCTCCTGGAGTGCAACCCTTTGTGGAGGAGACTGCTCCAGCACTACCGCCAGCGCAACTGCTACGCTGCAGCCCAGGAGATCCGTGTCAGGAGGACCTCAGCCTTGCTCGGATGAGGATGAGCCCTCTCCACCTGAACTGCATTACATGTGCCTTGGGAAGGACCCAATCTTTCCGTTATTTAATGGCTGTGAAGCCAAATGCAGCGGGAGGAGCTTCCCCTGCACCGTGACAGCTCAACTTCAGCGCCTGCTTCGGCAGTTTGGGGTGTTTTTAATCAGTGCAACCTTGGGCAGGAACTTTCAGCTCTAGCAAACCAAAAAGCATTGGAGATGGATGGATGGGTGTGTGACTTGATTGATGAGGATACTATTTTTGTAACTGTCAGATGCTTAGTGGAATTCCCCATCCTACCCTGCCACTGCACCTGGAATTTGAGGGGACCAAATACCTAGTCCAGCCATTGGGGTTGCACTTTGGGGATCAAATACTCAGTCCATTCATCGGTATGGAACGACTGGATGCAGCAGAGCCACACAGCAAACTGCTGTTTGCCATGGAGGACCAAAGCTTCTGAATACTGCCTCTTGTTTTAAAAACAAGGCCAGGGAATTTTTAAGGATCCTCATTTCTCAAAGCAGAAAAACTATTTGGTTTTTTAATTATTTTTTTAAGTGAAGGAAGAAAGCAAAGAGAGACACGTGTGCCGCTCTTTGTCTAGCCAAAATGCTGCTCTCTAAGCATGTAAATATCACAGCACCAAGGCCAAGGTGATTTTGTAAATAGATTTACATGTTCTTTGTACAAAGGAGGTTATCCTCACCAGCATAAAGGTAATGAAAAGCAAGGACTGCTCCTTCCAGGAAACACTGGGACTTGTCATCCTCTCAGTTTTATTTGAAATCTCCTCCTGTTGAGCCCTTTCCTACCCCACATTTTTTTAAAGCTGCTCCTAATTTATTAACTTTTAACTCTGTGAATTTGTTTCACAGCCTTATGGCCTGAGTTTTTAAGAGTGGTGAAGGAAGTTTGATAAATGTACCACAGTGTACATGTGTATAGTGTATTTTTATATGTTCTGTAGCCAAACTGCTGTGAGCTGGAAGCTGTGATTCACTGGAGAGGCTGCTGTGGCCCCTGTGGCTCACAGCAATGTGTTGTGGCCAAGTGGTGCTCTCTGAGAGTCACGGAGCTGCTTTATGAACTGTGCTGGTTTTGAGGGAGGGTGTCTTTTATCTCATTTCAATTCTGAATGTATGAAGTGCCTGCCTCAGCTCTCCCCAAACCACATGCTTGGCTGTCGCTAGGTGTTCACGTGGGATGGAGCTGAGATGCAATCACAGTGTTGTACCAAGTCCATGCTGTGCTGGGGGACAAGTTTTTCCTTGGCATGAATCCCTGTGATTTCACAGCATGATGGGCAGGATGAATTTTGTCCTGTTTGCAACTGAAATGCAGCATGGCTCTTTCCAGGATGGAGGAATGTGCAATAAGAAAGTGTGTCTGGAAAAGTCTGTATTTAACACTGTGTTTCTTCTCATGACTCTGTGTTACACTTGTCTCAAGAACCTATGGAGAAGTTTTGTTGTTCTCCTCCTAGCTTTAAACTACCTTCCTGCACATCAGCCTGTGGGGGGATTGAGCTGTATGCCAGAGACCACCCAGGCTTGCTCTTGTCCTACTGAAATTTAGTAACAGGCACATGGCTGGTGTGTCCATGAGGGATAAAACTGCATAGGAAGTACCTCCTGCTGATTCTAAAGATGCTTGGTAAAAGCTGGTAAGATGTAAAATTCATGGTTCCTCTTTGAAGTCATCCTTAAAAGATTCTGCACCAGCCTGATTTTGCAAATATTATTGCAATTCCAAAATAAGCCTGTCTAGGAATCACTCCGTGGAATTCTGAAATGGAATCATCTAGCTCCAAGAGAATGTGGAGGATTGCAGAAGATGCTGGAACTGTTGGGATAACTGCTTTGGCACAGTGCCAGCATCATTCTGACAAAGCCACTTTGGTCACTGTAGAACTGCTGAGTCTCATTTTCATGGTCTCCTGTAAGTGAAGAGTCCCCTCGATTCTGTGCTGGTTATTTCACATGTGTAACTCAAATGAGGAGACTCATCCCAAGTGCAGTGGCTTAGTCAGTGCTCTTGGAGGGTGTTTGGCTAAGAGAGAGACCTCAAAAAGCAACTCTCTTTGTCCTCAGTGGGGAAAAAGTGTTTATTCTTACTCCATGGAGATAAAACCTAGACTGACATGCTTTCCTTGGTCACCTGTGTTGCAAGACAATATAAGTTTGGTTTTTTCCTCTGAAGATGTATTTTATAAGTGGTGTTTAGAAAATGCATCCAAGCAGCAGGTACAGTCAGGCTGGACCTTTGGGCTGCTGGGGCTTGTGAGCAGGTTCCTCAAGAGTTGGTCATGCAATAGTCAGGGATAGCAGAAAGTGCAATTAAACTTTTTACAGACTGTAGTGACAGCTCAATATCATGTCCTTGTCCTTAAGCTCTTGGAGAGAATCATAGAAATCAAGAGAAAGAAAAAAAGTTCAAATTAGTTTGGTTTCATTTGCACACAGAGCTTTGAATTTACTTTTGAAAGATTTTCTATGTTCAAGCACATAGTCTTAAAACACCAAATCTTTGGCAATCCCAGTAGGAATGCCCTGGCAGTGGTGCCCAGCACGTCAGCCCAGTCAGGGCACTGTGTTCTCCACAGCCACAGGCAAAAGCACATGGTTGCAGGACACAAATGTCAGTTCATCCAACAGGATTAACTTAATTTCCTCAGCACTAGCAAGAGCATGAGCACAAATTGAAGAAGGGAACCTGTGCAGGTAGTCAGGGGTGTGCCCACCCTCAGCCTGGGGTGGGCTGTGCTGTCATAGGAAACCTCTCCTTGGCTCCAGCTGGCCAAGGAGAATCCCATTGGACTGTGCTGTCATAGGAAACCTCTTCTTGGCTCCAGCTGGCCAAGGAGAATCCCACTGGACTGTGAGGATATGGACAGATCTGTGTAGGACAATCAATTTACTGCAATAAATTGTTGGGGTTTTTTTAAAAATAGAAATGAAATGTCAAGTGTCATAGAGAGTGAATTAAGGAACTTGAAATGTGGCAGGTTTTTATCTTTTGTATGTCTGTGACTCGCAGCAAACCTCAAATGACCTTTTGGATACAAATATTTTTACCTGCTTCAACTGTTTATAAGAATGAACCTCAACATTCCTTTTTTTGATATTTAAGCCATAATTGTAAAAATGATTTGAATTATTTAAATAATAAATTTTATTACTAAAAGGTCTGTTTATGTGGTGCTTTGACTAGAATTTGGGAGGGGAGAAGAAAATGAACATTAACTCCAGTTCATGGCAGAAGAGATTTTCTACATGTTGGTCATCTGGGTGTATTACCCTTCCCCGTTTGCTAGGGGAGGTTGGGGATGGTTTGGGTTTGTTTATGGTTGGGTTTTGGTTGGGTTTTTTTAATTTCAGTGATCTTTTCACCTGGAAAGATTTGGGGAAGGCACTTGTAAAATTGAAAGCAGAATGAGTTCAGTTTTATGCAAAATGTTTTAACAGTTTATGTTTAATTTTTGCCATCCATCTTTTCCAAATCATTACAATGAGGAAGACCTTCTCTCCTGCCTCAT